TGCTTTATTTATTTTTTACTAATATGTCAATCGGCTATAATGTCGAATAAGTCTCTTCCGAGAACAACTTATGCGACAACGTTGACATAGCTAATAATGAAGACAAAGGCGTCCTCCTACACTCTCAATAGAGCTAGCATCTTTTTTACTCGACAGTTTAGCCTACCGGGACGTGTATCTTCATCATACACGTTAACAGAAGGTAATCTCGCTTCCGGTGTCCGAACTTAAATCACAGCAGAAGTCCTTGATATGCAAAGACTTTCCGGGGATGCTCGAGAGAGCCGTGACTAGATGCCATTGCTATCGCTGCTATCGGCCTTTAGCGTGACTCGACGTCCACAAAAAGGCAAACACAGAAAGTGTGTAAGCTGTCGCTTAGATTATGAAACGAGCGGAGGGCTATACAGACGGACGAGCGAGGGCGGTGCATGACAAGGCAGGTTGGTAGCGAAAATGATCTTGTTTATGTCGGTACACTTCGATTGAAATCTGAAGTCATTCTGTCACAAAGTGCAATTTGCGTTAAGGAAAAAAGCAAAGACGAACCGTTTGTTTCTGACCCAGAACGACTTTAACCGAGGATCTTTGGCAATACGTGGTCACGTATAAAAACCCCATCATATAGGCTATCAATGACACGTGGGCAATACTTGTTTCGCATCTTTCGGCAAGTGGTATAGGCCAACAGGTGTGGTGCCATATTTAACTGCATCCCGGTTTGTGGGCTTCGTCAACTGGAGCTACGTGTATAATCTAGTAGGTTCATCTCATTATTAATGTCATTGAGAAGGAATACGCAATCAATATTAAACTGTTTCTAGACAAAAGTCTATCAGACAAGCGAAGTTTTAGTGTGTACCAGCGGGGTAAACAACTGAAGCCTGTGTTTGCAAAATAAATTCATGTGGAAGTCTTCAGTAGAATGACAAATACAGGGCCAAAATGTATAATATTGGTGTACTAGACGAATAGTCTATTCTCTGACTATTCAAATCCTCAGTTATTTGGTGTATCTGTTTTGTATAGAATTACCTGACAAGGAAATCAGCGGCGACCAGCTCGTATAGGAGGGCGCATATAACGCTATGCAGCTGCATACGAGTCCGTATAGCGGGCAAAAAGGTAGCCGGTGAGATTTATCTGTTACACAACAACCGGTTTAAAAATATACTTGTTCCAAGTTTATTAACCAGCTCAGTGCTATCTAAAGTAAACAACCGGCATGATGATTATGATCGTCATTGTCACCACCTTTATGGTGGTGTCTATTACTTCGTCTGCTTAGCTAATTTAGTAAGCGCTATCGCTGAAGATCGTTATCGGATCATGAAGCGAACAGACGTCCGTGCGTCCGGCGAACTATTTTTTGTCGCTGCTTCTGATGCGTCCCGATGTGGGATTTGAGGATTCTTGCTTGCGAAACATGCGAGCCGGCTAGTTAGCGACCTAGGTGATGAAGAGATGAAGTAACGCATGTAGTGATGGGCAAAAATAAAAGATCAGCTGTTGTGGACCTCATCCGTCATCACCCGAAATCATTATTGCCAGCCGATGTTCTGGATGATAACGTTAATGTTGCAGATGATGTTAACAAATAACTTCAGTTCCTTCAATCGAGTATGATACAGCTGTACCTAAGTTTATTTGGAGGAAAGTTGAACAACGAGATCGCAATTTCATGACGGCGAGATTGGAAGAACGATTTTACGAGGCAAAAACGAGCCGACCTGGTGGAGGCTCGATACGTAAGTGACATGGGTCCTTGAGAAATCAGACAGACAGCTAAGCATATTCTCAGACTAGGCTAGCGTAAACAATGGTTAAGGCAGCGATGTCTTATTACTCATCACCTGCAGGTGTAACACGCGAATGCACATTGACTCAGTGTCGTCCATTACAGAGCGATTGTTCTTACGAGTGCTATCTTCTGTTCGACCGCCTTCGCCTCGCGTCAGCCAGCTGAGAGAACACCGACTGGTATTACTTTGTCTTCTTGGCACTTTCACCAGCATTCGATTAGTAGAATAGAAATCACTCTGGCTGATTTTCCTGTGCTTCACTGGCCCTGCCGGGCACTGGCTGTGTGCATAGATATCTGTATCTGTAATTACCAGCGTAACAACGGCGATCCGAATGGTTAGCTAGAACCAACGTCGAATGACCCAGTTGACGTCTGGCTTGCAGCTGCGGACAAAAAGTGATCTCCCGTGGCAGGCACATCTGAAACCACTGAAAGCGAGAAAGTGGCGGCTTGTTCATGGCTTTTCGTCGCCCCCAAAGGGCTCCTATGACGTACCCCCATGGAGGAGTTGCGGACGAATCGCGAGGAATAAGTGCAGACGCTCGATGCCGGCAGCGTAAGCGTGTTCCCAATGGCGTTACTTTGAATCCAGCAGGAACAATAATGAGATAGAGTAAGCGCGAGCCGCGTACTCCACGTGCTGCCATTCGTAAACAGAATAGCTTAGTGTTCACTCTCCCACATGTTCATCATGCATCGCGTGGTGCCAGTGAAGTGGCCTACTAGATGACAGCAGAGGATTCATCTTCAGCGAAAAGTCCGGCGGCGGCAGCAGGAGCAGCCGAGGGATCGATATATGGTTAGGTAAGCAGTAACCGCCCGCCAAATCAGTCGAGAAGAGCCGGAAGGATGAACGCGTGAGAGAAGACAGACTAGCTTTAAGGTAGACAGTTGGCTGATCTTCAAACAATAAGAAGAGAAAAACGCGAAGGAGACGAAAGAAAAAAACCTAAACCTGAACCTGAAAAAGGAGATAGAGTTGAAGGCAAAGTTGCTAGGTAGTTAATCAGGGCAATCAGACGCATGCCTGCTCCGACTCATCAACGACAATCAGGCCACTTTAGGGTTATCATTGACTGCTTCTTTTCGTGGATTGAAGTGTGGCAGGACCGCCTGCAGCGGATATTGAAAATCGTTCGCGATGTCACTGTTGGTGTCTCCTTGCTATTCAAGCTTGGTGTTCGTGCGTGAATCGACCACGTTTGAGAACACGGGCGATTCGTTGTCGCACTGCTGCAGGTATTTCTGGGTACAAAGTGATTTCATTCACGATCCGGAAACTAGTTGTTCAATCCTAAAATAAAAACGATAGCCGCCTGAATGTAAGCAATATTCTCGATGTTATAGCAACGCTCATTAAAAAATCGCCAGCTAACCTGCCGGTTTTGGATTTACTACGACAAAGAAAGAAAATTGTCTGGAGAGGTTTTTCAATACCAAACGTGAAATTTTCTGGCGAGACAGAAAAGTACGTTGGTTTAGAGATTAGAAAAATCGCAAAGAGTGACAGTAAAAGTACGTAGGAATTAATTATTGCTAAATAGAACGTTGCGTCTTTTATTAAATAAACTACTGATATTATTTTCTTGCAATTGATAAGAAAAAATCATGCCAAACTCTCATGTACGTGCAAATAATTAGATATAGTTATATGACACATACAGTAACATACGCTTGCAATTTACTTCTTCACCGATGCATCCTTCACCTAATGCGCGTCAGGCCAAGTTTGGCCATATTTCCCGTTTGGTCCCTCATCAACAAACCCGTTTACTGAATACAAACATTAATAGGCCGACAGATATACGTCTTGCTGTTGCAAAGTCAACCTTGACAAAGCCATCGCAGCTGGAAGTCGCCAATTTCGTCAGAAACGCCATGTTACATCACTGTACTGCATATGTATGCGAATGAAGAAGACTACCCAAAGGGAGGATCTGGATTACTGTTTTACTTTTTGCAGTGGAGGTTCGGCGCTAACCAATGGCTCAGTATAGCGGTATCTCTGATATCGTTGCCACCCTCGTTATCGCTTGTACGAGATAAGTCATTGTCGTCGACATAAAAGACAGAACCGCAGGATGTTGTTCTACAATGGCCAGTGACTGCTGTTGTGGGTAAATAAATGTATACAGATTGGTTATAATTTTAAATATATACTAATTTTAAATATAAATACTGCTATGGAATGGAGAAACTTTCAACGGCCTGCAAGGGCGGTGTCGGCTGCAAAGCTCCAAGAACATGAATGGAGCACCTGAAGCAGATTTGATAAGTAGATGCAAAACAAAAGGAAATATATACCCATAAAAATACAATGCTCCGATCGATCTTTATATCTGCGTTCGATTACTAACAAATGTACTTTCCTACCTAGCTGGTGTTACTCAAGACACTGCATAAACAAAAGCAAAGGTGATTGACTAAAACGTTTTTTACCAGCAATTCCGAAAGGAATGAAAAATCCGGAACTCACAGGACTTTTTCTATCCATCTGTCTATTTATCTATCTATCTATTCTATCTAAAAAGGATACGACATATTTGTATTTGGGGAATAACTGTGAAAGAACACCTCAGGAACGAAAAATATCTCACGGCGTAAGGTCTTTATCAGCAATATTCTATTTGCGTGAATGTATGTGTGATTATTTTTCTCGAGGGTCTACCCACAGGGCTTGTCGACCGTATAACACGTGAGCATATTGAGTCAATTATGTAGTTAAAAAAAATACTGTTTTCTGACCCTGACTAAGACCCAATCGACGTGAAGACGTTCTCTTCGTTGGTTATATGTATTCTGTTCCTACCGTTTTGAAGCTTTTTCCCTTCATAACTTAGTTTAGTCTTTTACTAAAGGAACTGAGTTAACTTTTGCATCTTTTAGTTTATAAAATTGGTAATAAGCGTAATCATCGTAACAATTTGTATATAGAAGATAGTAATTTACTATTACCAACCGCAAGATTATTAAGGTTGTAAACTGTGTGCGGCAAATGCATGAACACCCCATGTAAATGTATATCTAGTCAGATCATGCTGTCTATATATATATATATATATGTGCAGTGTGTGACTGCGGTAATTATTAAGATATAAAAGCGCAAAAAGAATCTTCAAGAGCCTTATGAATCTCCTGTCTAAGACGTATACGATCCACCAACTAAGAATAAGAAACTCGGCTGATTGGTTTCCAGGAAACACCTACAGAAGAGCACTAGCAACCCAGTTGAAGTAGAAATTGCTTGCCAAGGAACGTCAGATACCATTTCGTTGTCACTTTTTGCCTGCTGCTGCCGCGTCCGCCGCCACCTCTGACGACGATGAGGAGGAGCAAAAACCGGCCATAGCCAATTCGGCGATCATACTCATCACTATATTTGTGCGCACGCGCGCCCATACACCGTGTGCTGATAATGACGCTCGTGATATTGTACGTCCGCTGTACGGCGCAATGGCTATGGTAGCGTCGTCGGTAATATCTGTTTTAGCAAGATCTGCGTGAGCGTGAACGGAACATAGCGTAATAGTAACAGAATAGTAGGGACAATGAACACGAAGAGCTAGCCACCGACCAGGATGAGATAAACGTGCTGAATATCACGCGGCATGGCTACAGCAGTGGCAGCAAGAGCAGCGATTTCGCTGGAAGAGGTTTTATTGGAGGAGGAGAAGGTCGAGGAAAAGATGGAGAAAGAACAAAAATAAGGAAAGAAAATTAGGCTTATAAGGTAGCTTCCATAAGTCCGTAAAAGCATTATGCCTTATCCAGATTCAAAATAAATGTGGCTTGTTTATTTCGTGAACCAATATCAGCGCGCAGTATTCTAATTGACTTACCTGACAAATTGAAAATACAACTAATCTCATTTAACGGATCTAGCGGTAACGGAGTCGGGGAAAGTTAGAACGATGTCACTCAGATTGAGCAACTAGGGCTGTATGTGTTTTGACCAACACAGGTTTAGATTTGTGTCTTCTCGTATTACGCTATGCAGAGATCTAATTAAACAGCACATCTTTGATTAAAGGCGTCGCTGAAGGGCCAGAACATAGTTTTTTTCATAACGGCATACATTTTCAACTTTTCGGTGGTAGGGGGTGTGCGTTCAAAAAGGCGAATTTGACCAACCAACCAGCACTGGTCTGCCGATGTCCTCTAGTGGAGGGTGGTGCCGCAGGAATCAATCGATTGAGCATCAGCATATTTTCCTATACAGATACAGGTGTATCTTCTTTTCCCGCTTGTAGCTCCCGTTCTCTCACCAAACGACTGAAGAAATGAAGAAAGATGGGGGCTTATCCATGTGCCTCACTAGCCTCTCTTCAATAGCTGTAGAGCAGAATCACTTGTTCGCGCAGTGATGGCTCGGATGAGCGTGACGCAACAACGGCAGCAGCAGTAGTTATCGTTGGCCGTTCGGTATGCCATAGAAAGCTTTCAGAAGACGGATGAAGATTATACCGTTGTTCGCTGTACTAGGTGACACACCACAGCGCCATGGCAAAGAGGTCCACACCTAGCATCAATCGCAGAATTTTTCTATGTTTTTTCGTTGTAGCTATGCCCGCATAGACTGACAGACAGGCCAAGCAGTCGCATATCGTCAACGAGACTCGCCAAAACCACGAAACAGAAGCTGTGTGAGAGACCTATTTGGCCGTTCAAGGTGTCGTTTTTCCATAGTATTTCTATTAATATGCGCTAGTGACCGAGAACAGTTTGCTCCATTTGCCGAAAGGAAGTCCATCTGTCCGTTCCCGTCTCCCTTTGAGATAGCGAAGGTTATCGCCTCACTCGTCGCATCTCCCGCCTTGTTTATTTATTTGTTAGCTTGTCCGTCTTTGTTCGCGGTCGAGATGCCACGAAGAAGCGCCACCGCCGCCACTGTTAGGTCCTTTCTTCTACAGCTCTAAACAACAAACATGCATCTTCGCCACCGTCTGGCTTTAGATAGATTTCGGAGCCAATTTTCTGAAGGTCTTCTGCTTCTTTTTCGTTTAGCCACTTCTGCTGGCACTGATGCCCCCTGCCTAGGCACTCGTTTCTACTTCCAAAACGACAGCGGCTACGTCACCCTCCCTGGTACTCATGTCACATGATGGCTGTCCGACACGTCTACGTGCACTGTCGGCAGATTAATCTCGAACTACAAGGAACGGTACGGTGCGGGCGGGAGCTGAGGGAGAGGAGCGCTAACCTGATGCAATGTTAGCACAAATGGACGTTAAAAAAGTGATTTCTTTTAATCGTTTGCGCTACTGTTATCGCTTTGAAATATACACACATGTTCGAGCTTTTTCGGTCCAAAAAAAATTATACGATTGCCATTGAACTTAAAAGGACGAATATAGCGCCATGCGCAGCGGTAATAAATAAAGCAAACATTTCATAGATTAATAATACAAAATAAAGTTCGAGTAGTAACTATAGAAAAAATAAACCGGCAACGATCGAGCGCGGCAAGGTATGAGAGAGACGAAAGACAGCCCTGTCATGTTTTATGTGTAACCCGTATGGCCAATGTAGATTTTCGTCGATCAATTATTATTCAGCATGGAGCCATACTGACAGGCCAACGAGCAACTCATTAAAGTTAGAAGATAGCAGAGAACATTAGAATTCAAAAGGGCATCATCTCACAGACGCATTTACCAGACATTAGTACGCGTGTAATGAGCGATCTCTGCTATAGCAGAAAACTCCCCTATATAGACAAGCGTTTAAGCAGACGCTAGGGGGCCCGACCTATGCGATATATTCTGTTATTTTCCGAAAAAAGTGTGTTATCCATTCAATTAGTCATCACATACACATATTGAAAAATATCTGCAATTTATTTAGGGTTTATTGCGTGCCGTACATGATGGACAATTAAGGTAGAGTTTAATTCTGTACTGTTATATTGTCTAATCTGGTAGCTCGATTTCACTTATCTTTCCCATTTCACTTGGCATTAGTTTAAGATCGACCTATGAATCTCAGGGCTCAAACCATACAACGCCGTCACGGCAGTGACAAGTAATTATTCTTTTAATAAATAGAACTTCGGTAAAGATAGTAGAAATATTCGGTAGTTTGTGGTTCTTAGCTTCCATGCTACGTGGAACTATTTACGGGTCTCGGCAAACAGCTCTTCTGCAAGAAAACATAGCCCTATATCACAGGAAAAAAAAGAAAAGATATTCCTGCGAATATTTATAATTATTTTACGCCGTCACCTTCTATTACCAGCGATAGTGTCCCGACATTGATAGGCCTCATGCAATCGATTCAGCTTACTGTACTTTAAAAAGTTTGATTGGTTTACGTCGGTTTAGGGTTTATATCGGAGAAATATAAAGTTGCAAAGGTATGGACGCTAACGCTAATTCCGATCTCGAGAGCAATTCTGTTTCTTATCAACGGGCGCTCCCCTGATCTTCGAGCCAACTGGGTACAGGGTTATATGCTTTTAAAGATGTGCACTTCTGACATTATTTGACAAAGCTGAAATTATGTTTGGACACCTCTAAATAGAAGTAGAACACGAGGAGGGATATTCTCGGCAGATTCTACAAACTGATATACAGATCTAATAGACGGTTGTCATCGCTGTTGTCCAACGTAGTAACAAGTGTGAATTTATAGCGTGCTCAGTTACTACAAAATGTTAATGAATCAGCTTGACACTACTAAAAAATCAAAAGAAAACTTTGATTTGCATAAAAATATCTCAGATAGACCCATCAGCAACGTGGGCTCGTCTCATAGCAGAAACGAGCACTTAACCCAACATAATAGACTCGTATATTACTCTTCTTTGCCTCCTTAGTTTTATAGACGAAATTGCTTAGAAAGAAAGGTTTGAATGAAACGTGCTTTTCCTGATCGAAATTATCTGTTAACCAGACATACGCCCGATACATCCGCATACGATAATTTACATCGCAATCTTCGTGCCCACCTTAATTCGGTCCAATCATTGCTAAATGATGAGATTTACCAAATAGCAACAACAATACATATATATATATATATATATATAAACATATCGCAGGACAGTCCTAAGTACACATAAAGTTATTAGCATTTATTTCTATATTTCGATGCCATCTGCTCCTGCTTTCCTCAGTGGCAGTGCGGTGTGGCTCTACCGAACCCGAACTGGCAATTCCGGACCCCCTCCATCTCTCTCAGCGACCCCCAATTGTTCCGGTCTATGCCGCATATGTCGTCTGGTCATTTGGTTATAGCACGTTCCGTTCTACTGCGACTGTGTCGTTAACTGACGCAGTGCAAATTGTTGGTAATGGCGGTAGGAGGCATTTCGCTAATCGTGTGCGCGTCCCGGACGCTCGCCGGCGCCGCGGGAAGGTATCTTTGAACGACATATAGCAACCCTCTCGTCGGTTATTGTATGTTGATTTTGATTGGCCTCGCAGCTTTGCTCACAGTGAGGGCGCCCGGCGCCAGGCCGACCGTTGAACCGTGCTGGAGTAACAAGATTGTGAGCTGGGTGGTAGCATTCTCATGTGAAGAGAAAAGGCCGTTGTTTTCGAGGGTGGCTCTTTCGATCGCTGGATAGCGATCCATCCATTCCAATTCCCGCCAGTCCGGTTCAGACGATCCGACGACGGCGGCCAGGGTTTTCGGCGCCAAAATTCGGAGAGGACGACCGTTTGATGATGATAGTGGCGCTGTTCAAGTCGCTTCCGATGATCAGGATGCGCCAAAACTTTTAATTTCAACGGTCGGAACTGAGTTGAGCTCAGCTAAGCTGGAGCAGTAGGCGAGAGCATCTGGGGTTAGTGTTAGGCTGGCGATAGCTATAGCTGCAGTCGATTTAAATTTGAACAGGTGCCCGCCACGGCGTAGATTGCTATACACGCATAGGGTAACACAACGATACCCAGCCGCTCGCAGACATGCTCCCCCTCGTTCCACAGCACTGGGGATTGATTTGTAGCGGACCATAGCATTGAGCATATGAGGACACTCTAAACATGAGCCCTACGATTTTTATGGCTAGAAGAGAGAGAGATTTTACGCCGCCAGCACTGACCGGGGTCTTAAAATTCAAGCTTCACGATTGAGCTCGATTGCGGTCAGTAGTGCTCGCTACCGACGGAGGACGTTCAGTGCGTATAAGTTAAGGCTAAGACAAAAATACTGAAGAACGCATGGTGCGGTTTTGATTCTAAACCTACCACACCTAGCTTCGTTCTAGAAGAAATCAGCCGTTTGAGATAATTCTTAACGACTGTCTTGGATGCAAAAATCAAAACATGTATTATATTATATATCGACCTGAGTGAAAAGTACCCTTATAAATAAATGCGGGGATTACAGTAATTTCTTGTACCCTTGATCAGCGCCTATTGGACTACTTTTTTACCAGCTTTTTAAATTAGAATTACGCCACCTGAAGTAAAGGCACGCTTTAAGAAGGCGATCTGCTTCACATTTTATATGAGGGTAGATTTGCAGTTTGGATGTCGTTTACAAACGTTTGTCAGGAAATCACGATTGACATGATGTTCTGACAGATCATTCTACAGGATACCATGCAACTGTTTTTGGCGAATTAAACGAGGCGAATGGACATGTATTTGATTGGAGTGTGTGCGGACATTCGGGCGCAGGTACGAGGTTTTGTCTGAATCCGGGTAAATATTTTGCGAGTCATCTCATCCTATAGATAGACATATAGATGGCTTTGATCAAATATCGATCAGTCGTGATTTTATAAATTGTGCAATGTCAGCCCTCGTACGTATTTCTCGAA